CCTGGTTTCTCCTCCATCATCTTGGCACACTCTTCCTCATCCTCAACAATTGAAAAGAGGAATTCTTGCATACGATCAAGGTCATCCTCCTGCAGCAAGTGACTCATCCTATGATGAAATTGCATATAAGACTCTTCGAGTTTGTTGTATGATAACTGGATTGCTGTGGTTCAGCACATATCAGCATATAAAAGGTGAGGCAAAAATCATTTTTATTGAAACTCACTGCAACAAGTTACAGTACAAGAAAACAGTTAAGGGTCCAACAAAATCCAAAATGGTGCATATAAATAGGACCACAAAAGGATATATAGACATTCCACCTGCAATTAAACACTGTCATATGGGGCAGACAAAGTGCAATGTTGGTTGGTGCAGTAAAACCTGAAACAACTCCCCTTTTCAAAACAGTCTGTAAGGGTTTTCTGGTGAAATCCAAAAGACTGAACAGGAAGAGAAACAGTACCAGATAAAAGGAACGATGAGAAAAAAAAATGGGGGCAAAGGATAATAAGGAAATAGTCAATCCTCAAGTACTTTTAGGAGCTGAAAAAAACATATAATCCTTATCAGTAGGATAGAGGTGTATGCCAGGTATTGTGCAAGGTCAATTGTAGCCTAATTTGACATTAAGCCCTGTATGATAAGTTGAGGTACTGGGGGAGGAGTCAACCAAAGGATTTAGAGGGATATTAAAATCTTCCTCAGAATCAGCACACGAGATTGGAATTCTTGTAGAATGTCATTTTCCCAAAAACAATACCTGGTATTCACTGGAACAGTAGGTATTAGCTATAGTAATTGGTCTGGAGGCCAAAGAACCCTTAAAGAATAAGTATCATCCTACAGGATCTGTCAACGAATCTGAGTTTTGAAACAGAGTGTCTAGAGAGCAGAATAGATGCTCCTCTAGTCTTGGAGTGTGGATTTATAGCATATATAGCTGAAGGAAATGTTTCGTTAGTAGGTTTTGGAATGGAGTCTAATCGGAAATGTGTCTCCTGAAGCAAAATTATTTGGGCTTTATGTTTGGTAAAGGCTGACAAAACTTGCAAGCACTTTTCTTGTCTATTGAGACCTTTAGCATTCAGTGAAACACATTTCAGTGACAATGGATGGCCAAAAGTAAAAGTACGACCCCTGGTAGGGTATGTCTCATGAAGTAGCATTAATACAAGAGTAAGGGCGAAGTGCAAGAAGGCCCAAGCCTCTCACTTGGAGATCACAAGGGCAATGACTGAAGGAAAGGGGAGGGGGAGTAGGACCGTACGGGAAGAAGAAAAAAAAGGGGGTGAAAGAACCCTAAGAGGAGGGGTTGGGCAGTAGTTAGGAAGGATCTAAGAGAGGGAGTCAGAGAATAGAGGCTAAAGTAGTGGGAGAGAGAGGAGGAATATTCAGCTACACAGAAGAAGGGAGAAAGACTCACTGGAGGTTAAAGAAGAAGGAAAGCACCAGAGATGAAAATAGACCTGCTATTCCACTTGCAGGAGAAAGGGAAAGACCGGAAAGTCAACAGACCCACAAGGAGAACAACTGTGTGGTTTATTTACTAAAACTGGTTCACTTAAAATCTTGTTGACTTCTGCAATGAAACCAATCAGTTTACAAGTTTTATTGCTAAAGCTTAACTGAACAAACAGAGTTTAAAAGCAGACTGGCTGCCATGCACAGCTGCATGAGATTCTGAGTGAACCAGCTTTAGTAAGTAAACCTTTGTGCGTGTACATAAAATAGACTAACTTAGTGATGAGGTTGCATTGGGGAGGATTGCAAAAAACATAAAGGCAGGGGAGTCTTGATAAAGTGAAGACATCAGATACCAAAGTCAGATATCAAATATAAAACCGCCGTTCAGGGCTGAGGGCATAATACATTGAAAGGAAACCTCTATGAAGGAATAAACTTTAGCTTAACAAAAATAATGAGCATTTTTGTTAAATATAGCAGCAAATAATACAAACATAACCATTAGGATGCCTAAGAAAGAAGCCGCCACTTCCACCAACCCAAACACCAAGATTGTAAAGTATACAGTCATGACATTTTCAAAACCCCTAGTTATCCAAGTAGGTGGAAGTTTTTTTTTTACCTTACTGCATATAATGCAGAAAACCTTCTGCATTTACAACCAATTTAAATTAATTAATGTGGGTGTGAAACATTTAACAAAAAAAGCACAGTTTACACAAAAAATATTATTCATAATTTTACTGAGATCGTCAATATTCTACAGGATCAAGTATCAGGCAGATATATCTTTCCTTCAGTCCCCTCTGCTTTTCACATCCCAAAATGGAAAGAAAAAGCTTCCCACTCCTGCCCCCTCAAATAAGAATATCATGCTTGAAAAGTCAGGTGGATCCTATTAAAGTGATGGAGTAGGTCAAGTACATAGAGAGCTCTGGGTCCACAGAAACAAATTTTTAACTAGATATCTGTATTCAAGAAAAAGCTAATCTTTTTTTCAAGGCATTATAAAAAGCTATTTATTGTAACATTAGCTAATGTTAATAATAAAACCTATGTACCTTGCTTTGTTCTATTTATGTACAATTTCAATAAACGCAACTGTTAAAAAAATAATAAAACCTATTCAATAATATTTATTTATTAACATGCTTTAGAAGAATGTCATATGGTTTGAATTTTGAACCTTGTGCCATTTTTAAAAGTCATGGTTATTAATATAATTGGGATGTTTTAGAACTGATTGGCATTTCATGGAGTAAGGTACATCTCTATATTGGTTCTCCCTTTTAAAAAGCAGCAGAACCTTTAGCTAAACAAGAAAACCTTGAATTGCTATTTAGTAAAAGCCTATAATGATGTTTATTGAATGTTAGACAATTATCCCATAAATTCAGAATTAAATTTTCTGAAATATCATATTTTGTGCAAAGTGCAGCAAGTGCAATTTGAATAGTAGTACATGTTATTATTTATGTATCAAGATAAATACATGTATCTACTTAGTGCACAAAAACAACATTGTGGTTCAGTGGAGACCTCTATTTTTGTAGCTGGGGAGTTTATTCTCACACATTTTATGTTAAACATGGTGGTTGTTTATAATACTTGGTGATTTTTAACCACTTAACAGCCGCCCTATAGCAGTTTTACTGCTACAGGGCGGCATTCCTGTATATACCTGATTTTGCACTTCTGCCACACTGGGGCATGAGTGTGCTGCCGGATTATCCCTTCTGCTGTGAAATGTCACAGCACAAACCAATCTACAAGCCAAGGTGAGCAGTTGCTCGATAGCACCTGCTGATCGTAGGTCAAGGAGGAAGAACACAGCTTTATCTATGTTTACATAGATACAGTTCTGTTGTTACAGGGGAAAGTCATGAATTATTAGTCTCTGCTGAGAACATGATCCATCACTTCCCTTAGTAAAAGCACCACCTAGTGTACACCAAGCATATAGCTAGGTACACACTTAACCCTTTGATCACTTTAGATGTTAACCCCTTCTCAACCAGTGTCATTAATACAGTGATTAGTGTATATTTTTAGCAATAATCACTGTATTAGTGTCACAGGTTCCCACAAAGTGTCAGTGTAAAAATATCCACCTCAATATCGCTAATTAATGGTGGCAAGTTGCAGATTGCCCCCATTACTAGTATATATAAAAAAAAATAAAAAATCCAGTATATGTACCATAGTTTGTAGATGTTCTATCTTTTGCACAAACTAATCAATATATAATTATCAATATGTAGTAGAATAAATTTTGCCTAAATTTATAAAGAATTTAGATTTGTATAATGTTTTTATTGGATATGTTTTATAGGTGATAAAATACCACCAAAAAAAGCTCTATATGTGGGGAAAAAAAGGACATAAATTTCATTTGGGTACAGCATTGCATGACTGCGAAAGTTATATTAGATACATCGCAGTTCTGGTGTACTCTGCTGAGAATTATATTGCATCCAAAGGCCACATATAGGCTAGGTTTGCATAGGTACAGTATTTCAGCCAGTCATGTTGCATGTGTTTACTGGTGTAAATTCATGGGGCTCCGTATAGCCTACCTGACAGGGCCCCCTTTGACACTGCCTTTGACCCCACCCCTGGCTCAAACCAAAATACAGGCCACTGGTGACCTGTCATTATAGAGAACGTGGCCAGCAACCGCACCTACCTGCTGAGAGCCACAGGAGGAACTGTCGCTACAATTTTCACTGGCCCTAAATGCTGGTGTGAGTGTAGCCCAATACAGGAGATGGTCAGAGACTGCAAACATAATACAGGAGACGGTCAAAGACTGCAGACATGGCTGTCATGACCAATACACGTAGTCTATTTGTAATCCTAGCTCTTCTTCCCTTTCTTTCTGTAGGGCTTCTATGACAAATTAGAGTGATTCTGATTGGTCAAAGTGGTCATGTTCCGGTGCTGAACTTACACTATAAGGATTGGAAAATGTGACCATGTTTCATGTTAAATTCTGTAACGTGAAACATGTTCAGAAAGGTAAACTAAGCCTTTAATACTTCTTATACATTAGCTAAAATTATTAACTACTTGGCCTCCAGAACATTTACCCCCCTTCATGACAAGGCCATTTTTTGCGATACGGCGCTGTTACTTTATGTGACAACTGCGCAGTCATGCAACCCAGTACATAAATGAAATGTATGTAATTTTTTTTCCCACAGATCAAGCTTTCTTTTAGTGGTATTTGATCACTTTGGGGTTTTTTATTGTTTGCGCTATAAATGAAAAAACACCGACATTTGAAAAAAAAAAAACAACATTCTTTACTTTCTGCTATAAAACATATCCAAAAAAAAATCTAGTTTCTTCACAAATTTAGGCCAAAGTTTGTTCTGCTCCATATCTTTGGAAAAAAATCCCAATAAATGTATATTTATTGGTTTGCACAAAAGCTATAGTATCTACAAATGGCAGAATATATAATGGAATTTTTTTTTTCATAGTAATGGCAGCGATCAGTGACTTATAGTGGGCAGGGGCGGACTGACAACTCATGGGGCCCCAAGACAATAGGGGATCATGGGGCCCCTGTGTCCTTGCCCAAACTCAAAAAAGCCTATGAAAAAGGTACCAGGGGCATCTCACGGGGCCCCCTACTGACCCCGGGCACTCGGGCAGTGCCCTAGTTTCCAAATGGTCAGTCCGCCCCTGATAGTGGGACTGCAATATTGCTGCGGACAGTCTGACACTAACTGACACTTTGTGGGAACCAGTGATACTAATACAGTGATCAGTGCTAAAAAAATATACACTCTCGCTGTAATAATGACACTGGCTGGGAAGGGGTTAAACATCTAGGGCACTCAAAGGGTTAATTGTGTGCCTAGTCAGTATTTTTGTGTGCACAGTGTGCTGTTTTTACTAGGCAATCTGCTAGCTTTTATTCCCTGAATAAAATCTAACAGATCACCATTGATATAGCACAGCTCTGCCTTGTTTACTTAGGCAGACCTGTGTTCTGTCATTCTCCTCAGTGATCAAAAGGTTCTGGAGCTCATGCATTAGCTGGCACCTGTTGATTAACTTCTGCTGTGTCCATTCGTAGCAGGCGCACACCCCCCAGTGGCGAGAGTGCAAAATCACATTTATATATGTGATTTTGCACAGACCTTCCACTTTGTAGCAGTAAATCTGCTATAGGGTGGACAGCAAGTGGTTTAAACTGATCACCAGACAGATGTAAAATCTACAAAGTTTTAAAACTCTATATTCAACAATAATTTCCTTTTATTTTTAATGCAAGCAGTGTAGGTACCTCAATTTGACTCAGCAGGTTTTGTTCACTAAAGGCAAATAGACTGTTCATTTTTCAAGAAAATGTGCTCCAGCGTTTAGTGTAAGAGGTAAAGCTCTGCTGCCTCCCATTAATGCTGTTTTTTTTCCTTGCACGTTACTGGGTATTCTTTGCAAGATCAATCTTCACTGCATTCACTAAGTCCTCAGGAAAATTCCCTTTCAAAGTTCAACTTCTTTTGCAAAGTGAAAAGCCTATTTGTCTTTAGTAAATCAACCCCAGTATCTGCCTGTGGGACAAGGAAAAGCAACCAATCACTTGTGCTGCATTTGCTAATAAGGAATAGGCTGAAAGGAGGAGAAAGCAGTGACATAAAGATAACCTGGTTAGTCTTCAACCCTACAAGACAGTGCTATGTAAATCTCTGGACTGGTTGGAGGAAATACAAATCTTTTGGTAGGTAAAACAAACCTGTGTGTTTCATTTGTGTTGAGGTACAACTTTAATTAATCTGACTCAGTATTCTTGTAAAAATAAGAAATACTGCAGAGATTGGGGTTGATTTACTAAGACTGGAGAGTGCAAAATCTGGTGCAGCTCTGCATAGAAACCAATCTGCTTCCATGTTTTATTGTCAAAGTTTAATTAGACAAGCTGAAGTTAGAAGCTGATTGGCTACCATGCACAGCTGCACCAGATTTTGCACTCTATAGTTTTAGTAAATCAACCCCATTGTGCCATAGCTATAAATGTCAGGTTCATCAATATAATTAGGATGCTTTAAAACTGACAAAGGTTTCATTGTATAAAAGTCATTCTGTACATTGTTGACTCATTTCAAAGTATAACTAAAGGCAACATTTTTATTTTTGTTTTGGATAGAGTGAAGAGAGATTAGAACACCTGTCAGTTGTTATTGTTGTCTATGCCCCTGTTAAAGAATCCTCTCTATTTTTACTGTTAAACAATATAATTAAAACGAAATTAAAAGAAAATCTTAAATTTTTGGTTGTCCCCAGAAAAATAATAGAAGGGAAACCCTCCAATAGAGCCACTAGTTCTGGTGACCTGGGTGTCCCCACAAAATTCCCTTAATTTGCAGGGATTTCCTCTCACTTCCTGCTTGGCTATGGGACAGGAAGTAAAGGGAAATCTCTCCAATGGGACACAGATGGGAAAAAACCCCGACAGGGGTTATAACCCTCCCTTGCTCTATCCAAAATATTAAAAAAGGTATACCTTAAAGTATTTGGACTAAACAAGAAAGTCATTCACCAGCGGAAGTCAGTTAATATGTTTAGTGAATGCTAGATTGTCTACTTGTGCAACATAAAATAGATTCTGTACAAAGGGTGGTATGTAAAAACATATAGATGAACCCCAGGAAGATATAAATGATTGTTTTCTGTTTCAATTATATATTTATTAGAAGCCATTAAATATGTTTTAAAAGAAACATGCTTATAATCTAATAGGGTGGATATGGGGTTACTTTAGATTAACTTGAGGTGGTTATATTGCAGCTGCCTTAATATTTAACAGAGCCTAGATGGATGGGATACATTAGAACTTTATCTATAAAAATGAAAAACTAAAGGTCTTATAGTAACTCCATGTGCGGTTCATGATGTGAAAGTAATAAATACAATTAGACCTATTTCACCAAGCCCACACACCGTTAGGATAGATGTCACCTGCAGCCGGCTGTTTTATAGTTTTTTGATCTGGCTGAAGATTTTTCTGTTCTTTCACATACCCATTGTTGGTACTTTTTGTTTTTATTTATTTTTATTTCTGAATCGAAAGCAGAATGCGTGGACTGTGAAATATTGTGTCCCTTTTTCTTGTAAGTGTGGTGGTTAGCTAAAGAAAACTTTGGATTTACGGATATCTCTGCGTATTGTTATCATATATTATGTTGTGACATCAGGAAAATACAGTATGAAAGGTGGAAATGAAGAACTTGTGTTATCTAAAACTAACAACCTAGCACGCAAAGAGAAATGATAATATTGCCAGGAAAAGGTTGTCTTTTAGAACATGAAGCTGGAGTTCTTACACAAAGAGCATAATAGAAAAAAAAGCCACTGAGATATATTTCATGCAAGTTGGATGAAAGGTGCTACTAGACAAAGGTACAGACATTATTTTGGTTATATATTCAACTTTAATGGTCCCACTTTGTGCAGCAATTATTGCAAACAGCCCAACTAAATAATTGTCTAATTCAAGGTTCACAAAAAATGAATCTGTATTGTTTTTTATGTACAAATCTAACAATGAAAAAGGTGTACCATTGAACACTGTCACCTTACTGCCTGTGCTGGAGGAGGCTGGAAACAAAGAAAAATAAAATGTGCTAAATTGATGTTGTAGGAATCAGCTGCTGTTATCCCAGTTCAGGACTCAAACACCCAGATATTTGATTTTTTTTTTGTAGATTTGATCCTGGTTTTATACTGAGGATGTCTAGACCCACTCTGAATATGCAATTATCACCCAGAAGGATGCTCTGTATTTAGAGTCATTGGATCCTTTTTTCCCAGCTCAAGAAACAGAGCTCCATGCTTTATCAAAGCCTGTGAGCTATTAAAATAATTGACATTTATATAGATAGTAGAGAATTAGAGCACTTTTGAGGTGGTGCATGATTTTGGTTCCATTCGAAGAGCTAAAAGTTTTTTATGTTGGCAGGTAAACCAATCAAGCATGCTAAGTTAATTGACAAGCTGTTTTTAGCCTTCCAGCTTCTTGCTTACATGGCCATACTAACATTAAAACGCACAGATTGGAAGCAGACCGTGTGACTAAGAATGTTCAATTACAGCCCCGGACACTTGCACGGTCTGTGCAACTCACAGATTCCACCCTAGTTCTGGCCCAGTAGAGCTGGGATTAATAATTAAACTTTGAGGACCCCAGAACAAGAAGAACAAGTGGTCCACAGTGGGGGCAACTTCTTATGAATCAGGACTTTGGAAAAAGGTGATCTTTCATATCTGCCAGCCATTTTTTTCCCTTCAGCTTGTCACATGGACAGTGTCATCAGTCAGAAGCAGTTATGGCTGCCTTAGTAAGTGAGCATGGAATAGCACCAGGGTTCACCACAGTTGTTTTTGAATAATCCGCTTCTTGTTTTACCTGTTACCAAAAACTGATATATCCAGATGCCCAAGTCATTATCTTACAAATATTCACTTGTCTGTATGGACATGTTTTCTGAATGGCCAGAAGTTTGATTAGTGGAAAATGCTACTGCAAAGGCCACAGTAAAGAGTGTTATCAGAAGTAGTTTGTAAGTACAGAGTCCAAGAAGCTACAGAGAGTAACAGAGGAACTAATATTATAGGAGAGTTAATACAAGAAGTTTGAGGTTTTTTTCTTTACACCCCTACCATCTACAATGTAGTGGAAAAAGTAGAGTGACTAAGGGAAATGTCAGAGACTAGAAAACTATGGCCTGAATGCCTTCGTTTTTTTAATCCCCTAAGGGGATATATGAACTCTCTCCCTATGAGATTTTGTTTTAAAGTGTGTTGCTCACTTGCTTATATTTTCTCAGTAGCTGAAATCCTCCACATTGATCTCACAGAGAATGTCGCTGATCTTTTAAGGTTTTTACAAACTCATCTGTTTTCTCCATAAATTCCAAATCCTAACAAAAGCCAGCTGACTTGTGGATTCTTAAAGTGTTACTAAACCCAAGACGCTGCATTCACTATATCTGGGCTTCCACAGTACACAGAACATGGAAGTGCAATTACTTTAGTAAATATACACTGCTAAATACGTTTTCTCATCAGCAGTTAGAGCAGTCTTGTGACTTCTATCAGTGTACAGCTGAGCACATGTTAAAGCTTGTAGGAGGAGTCTTCATTCTGTTTTAGGAGGAATCAGAACCCCTGACCCTCTGTCTGTCTAGCAATACACACCAAACTGAGCATGGGCAGAGCGTCTCCACATAATATGTCTTATTAGGAGATAACAGGAGGAACCTGGAAGAAAGGGAAGATCAGAGAAGTCAGGATCAAACAGCATTTTTACAGAATGCAGAGGATTAACCCCTTAGGTTTCACAGTGAGTATGACAAGAATGCTTTACTGCATATACAGACTGATTTTACTGTTGTGGGTTTAGTAACACTTTAACAGACATTTATACTATATATATATATATATATATATATATATAGGAAATGGTTGGAAACACAATACAGCATCTCTTTCATGTACAGTTTACAAAATGTGGAGGAAAAGTCACCTGGATCCACACCAGACACTGCAAAATGACTAAATGAAAGTATTTCTGTGTTTAATTTGGTTTCCTCTTGGAATCACAGCCTGCGGTACCATTTATTCAAATGCTTTAATAAATATATTAGTAAGGGATATATGTATATTAATTGTGATCTGAAAAGTAGTTCAGCCATGTTGAAGTCATATTGTCTTTTATATGTTTTCCATTTTATGTAGAATCGTCTGTGTTTAACTATGCTGGTGAGCCAGCATGTCCACAAAAAAGCTACAAGGCCATTCTGACCA